GCATTGACTTTGCGGAAGATTTGATAAATTTCCTTGTAAAATCGCCTTGCATACATGCTTTGCAAAGAACAATCCAGTCAACATAAATTAAGCCCATCATAAAAGTGGGCCAATTGTCTTTAAACTTAATTCTCTGTATCAACATCCAATGAAGCCTTCGTAAATGCTAGCCATCAACGAATGGGCTGAGGCCCAGCTCCAGCAACATGCTGTGCAATGCTTTGCAAGCGGAGAGGATAACATATGGAACACAGAGAGGAGAACATATGAAGCATGTTGGGAGGCAATGAGGGAGATAGGATACAAAAGGAAGGCAATGGGAACGAGCTATCACCTTACTGCAATGAGCCCATCTTCAATGGCAACTAGCACTTGTTCAATGTTTCGTGACCAATCTATTCCCTTCTCTTCCAATATCATGGAATATAAGTATATGAAAATTTTCAAAACTAACATATTGGAGTACAATCTTAATCATTCTTAAACTCTTAGAAATACTAGACTCAACTAGAGATATACTTCAGTTCCCTTTAATCTTCCAGTCTAGCATCATTCTAAATCCAGGATTGGTATTCAGATTAGAATATTGCTAGTCTTTTGAGACAAGTATAATAGTTGTTTTGAATCATTAGGATCATCCTTTAGTGATTTTAATCTACATTGAGTTATAATTTAAATAGATTGCTACTTTGTCCTCTATGACATGCTAGATAGAGAAAAAGTGTTATATAAGCTCATATTTTTAATGCATCAAGTATTCTTTACAAATCAAATATTTATTTTAATAGCTTTTTTTCTGCAGGCTATTTGCAAAAGAACACCCACAAGGTGTATGACCTGTTTAGTATTTGCACACATATCAATTTTGTTATATTTATATTCTTTAATTTTCCACAATACCTATCTTTTATGGCTTCAGTTAAGTTATAGTCATTTACACCTTTGAGTATTTCTTCAATTTAGGCACTATATTTTTGGTTTGTTTAAGCAAACCAAGATAGGATATACCTGGGTATTCTTGAATATTCTATAATTTAATTGTTGATAATTATTTAGAATAATTTTGTGTTTATAAATTAAAAACATTTTAATAATGGTCGTCACGTTGACTACATATAGTTGACCGACGGTTTCGGCAAAAAGATGTTCTAATTTATTTTCAAAGCTTTTAAATCTGAGAACTACTAATTCAATGTTTGGACGTGTGTTTGCAGGTGTGATTTTGTGGCGAGGAAGCAGGAGCAACCTCCAGACAAGCTAACTTCTCAAGTTTAACCAGCTGCCACCTCCATTTTCCACAAGCTCAAAGGGTAGAGGGCTAGCTCTTGATTTTTTTTGGTTGTTCTCTTGGCTCCAATCTGTTAGGAGTGATGCAGTGGTAGGAGGAAATAACTGCCACATCACATTTTAACTTGCTATTGTAGGTTTCATGGTGGTCAACCAGCTGGGCTAGTTTTGAAAAACATTCAAATTGATATCATTGTCACAATGCCACTGTTAACAAAATGACAGTGACAGTGACATGTACTAAGGCAGCGTTAATTCAAATTGCTGATGTGGCCATCACAATTTGACTGTGATAGTCACATGTGCAGTGTCTATTAAGCAAACCAAAAATATAGTGCCTACATTGAAGAAATACTCAAAACTGAAGCTATAAAAGATAGGTATTGTGGAAAAATAAAGAATATAAAAATATGATATGTGTGCCTTGTGAAAGAATCATTTGAAAACCATAATCTAATATGACCATCATCTTCTATTTATGCAATCAGCTGTTTGGTGTTCTTTTGCAAATAGCCTGCAGAAAAAAAATCTATTAAAATAAATATTTGAATTGTAAAGAATACTTGGGGAATGCATAAAAAATATGATCTTATATAACACTTTTTCTCCATCTAGCATGTCATAGAGGACAAAGTAGCAATCTATTTAAATTATAACTCAATGTAGATTGAAATAACAACTAATTATCCTTGTCTCAAAAGGCTAGTGCAATATTCTAAATCTGAATACCAATCCTGGATTTGGAGTGACTGAAAGATTAAAGGGAACTGAAGAGTTGAGTCTAGTATTCCTAAGAGTTTAAGAATGATTAAGATTGTACTCCAACATGATAGTTTTGAAAATTTTCATATACTTATATTCCATGATATTGGAAGAGAAGGGAATAGTTGGTCACAAAACATTTTACAAAGTGCTAGTTGCCATTGAAGAAGCAATATTCTCTTATACTTGCTTTATAATTATTTGTGACAACAACATTATATGTAAAACTCCACCCTGCAGAATAGAAAGAAAGTTTTCAAAGGGAATGGATGAGTAGGAAATGGCACTTGTAATCTTTCTTATTTCCAAATGGGAGCTAGAACAGATTTGGATGCCTTGAGAGGCGCACCCTGCTTGTGCCAAAGAGACTGTTATTGATCAGGCCAGGGATTTCCAAACCAAAGCTATGTTTCTCATACCTGAAAACTGTATCCATGAAATATACATATCCTCTTGTAGTTTCTCTTCTAAATAGAAGACAAGTGCCTGAGGTTGTACATATCGAAGTACAAACCAAAGAAGCAGATCAATGGATCTCCCTGCGACGCGTCAATCAGCAGTCAAACGAGGCGAGCAGCGCATACTTGATCCTCTTCCAGTCGATCCACTTTCCTGTAACCAATGGTGCTACCGTTGCTCACCAGGTACCAGCCCAGCTCGCTGTCCCATGTCTCGACGAGATATTCCATGACCCTTTGTCCCATGTTTACTGGCTCTCGGATCTCCAGTGCGTTGAACTTTGAGACCTTGCCAAGATCAAGCTCGATCCAGCCGGTCGACTCCCCTTGCATTGGAGCCCGGAAAGTTTCCATACGCTCGTCAAGGATTTTCTTCGGCCTGAACGAAGAGCTGCGAACGCTGCTTGCTGTCACGGACAAGGGATTCGCTGCTAAGTTGACGCTGAAGATGGAATCTATGGCGGAGCTAAACCGCTCCAGCGTCTGGAAGTCGGATTCGTCGATCAGTCCCGACGAGTTTGGAGGGACGTTGAGCAGGAGCAAGCAGTTCCTGGCGGATGATTTGTAGAAAACGTCGAGCAGCTGCTCCAGGGATTTTGGAGCCTCGTTCCTGTGCCAAAACCAACCGGGCCTGATGGAGATATCGCACTCCGGAGGGAGCCAGTCGGTTCCAGCACTCTCTCCAGACATCAAGTACCTGTTGATGTTGCGAATTGGATCGAGTTTCACGAGAACGAAGGTTTCATGGAAGGATGGATTTTACGTACTGGCCATCGCTCCTGCCGATCGTAATGGAAGATCTGTTCGCCATCGCCCAGCATGGTTGTCCGGCCTCGCCATACTCGTTCCCAACCCATCGGATGTCGGGGACGTTGGCGTCAGAAAAGATGTTGGCACCGGGGATGAATCGTGTCAAACCAGGGCTCAAAATCGTAGGTCATGTTCACTGCAGTGGGTGATTTCGCACCATCCAGCCACACCTCGGAGATCGGCCCATATCTGCACGCCGAAACAAAATGCCGCGTCAAGGCATCTGCTGCTAGAGATGAAAACTACAAAAGCCCACAAGCTCGCGAGCTCCTAATGCTAAAACCGTTTGATGGGCTGGAGCAAATGCAAACATATCACACAGTGATCATGCCACCAAGAAAACTGCGTGAAGAAGAAGCAAAGAATGTCTCACTCACCCAGTAAGAAGCTCTCCAAGTAGAACTCGTGCTAGAGAAGAGTGTCGCCATAGCAGCTCTCGTGCAAATCCCATGGCGAGAGGTAAAAGCTCACGTCCAATCCACGCTCCCTGGCGGCGGCCACGAACTCGGCCACCACATCCCCCTTCCCTCCTCGCCAAGAGCTGCTAGCCACGGAGAAATTGGTGTAGGCCGAGGGCCACAGGCAGAACCCGTCGTGGTGCTTGACCGTGAGGATCACGAGCTGCGCGCCCGCGGATTGGGCCACGTCCATCTACTGCGACGCATTCAATCGCTCCGGGTTGAAGATGGAGGGCGATTCGTGGCCGGATCCACGCTCCGAGTCCGTGAATGTGTTGACGCCGAAGTGGAAGAACATCGAGAGGCGGCGCGAGTGGAACTGGAGCTGGCGCCATGAGGGAATTGGGCGGAGAGGGAGCGGTGGGGGCGAATTTAGGGCGACAGCTCTCAAGAACACTAGTATCTCGAGGAGCAAGAAAGAGAGATGGAAATTCATTGCTATAGAGAATGGAGGAGAGAGCCAATCTTATAAGCCCAGTGGAGTAGAGGAATTGTCACCAGAGAGTAAAATCTTTGCTTCTTCCAGGGTGTCCTTGTTCTTGCAAGGCAAGATGGATTATCTTCTTCTTCTTAAGCTAGATTGGAATGTTCTTTCTCCGTCCAGGATTCTCGGATTCTCGCAAGGAATACCTCGCGAATCGCGAATGTGTGTGAGATCCAGCAAAGTTTATGGCATTGCTCTTCCCCAATTCGTGATTTCCACAGACACCTCAGAGGATTGCTTGCTCTCACAGGGGAGGCAAATCCACGCCCGCATTGCGCAGAGCGAGCACCGCCGCAACAAATACCTCGCGAATCTGCTCTTCCAGATGTATGGCAAATGCGGCAGCGTCGATGACGCCCGTGCAATCTTGGAATCCATAGAGAATCCTAAGCTCTTCTCCTCCAACATCATGATCCAGGCCTACGCACAGGCGAAAGATCTAAATCGAGCGCGCAGAACGTTCGATGGGATGCTCCGGCGAGATGCCTCCACGTGGAACTCGATCGTCACGGCATATGCCGACAACGGGCATCTTGATAACGCGAGAGATTTTCGAATTGGCTCCAGAGAAGAGCGAGATCTCTTGAAATGTGATGATCACGCTTTGCATCCGCAGTGGAAAGATATCTTCTGTCAAGGATTTGTTTGATCGGATGCCCGTGAAGACGATCGTTGCGCAGACTGCCCTCGTCACGGCATTTGCCAGAAAAGGGCATTTGGAAGAAGCCAAGGCTTTGTTTGAGAACATAAAGGAGGAGCGCGATGTAGAGTCATGGGCTTTTGGCTCTCGCTGTCTACAGACAACTCCAACCGAACAGCAAATACAGGTTGGGCAGTCTTTTTCTCTTGAGTTGATACAAACGACAACTTTCTGGCGACAGGCAACTGCATTTGAGGTGAAAAGGCTACTGATTGCCGGAAAGCAGAAAGAGGCTTTACGGGCTGCTCAAGGCGGGCAACTTTGGGGATGTGCTCTTCTTATGGCCCGGCAGCTGGGAGAGAAGGTACCTTGTCTTGTAGCTTTGATGTATAGACCGTTAGTGATGGTCTTGTGGTTTTTAATAGTTCTACACCGACACTATAGCGGAGATGGCTCAACGTCAGTTTCAACCAGGGTTTCCCCTCCGGGCTCTAACTCTTCTTTGTGCTGGTCAACATGCCGGAGTGTTCGTAGGGAACACTAATTCGTCGAACGTAACAGCTCTTCAACCTCAACCGGTTCCAGCGTCTCTGGAGACATCGAGATGAGGTATATACATGGTCACACGTTGAGATATGTGGAGCCCATATTTGCTATCTTCTTGCATTTTGAGCCTTTCTCCCCTTGTGCCAGACTTTGTCTTATAGGTGCCGACGATTGTAAGTATCCACGCACGTACGCTAGTCCAGAAGCTATCCAGGTAAGCCGTGTTTGTCCTCAATAACAATTGTTAACCTTTTCTTCATCAGCGAATGGAAGTGTACGAATTTGCAAGAGTGACCGGCAATTCCCAGTTTATTTTACCTCCTTTTCAGCCATACAAGCTTATTTATGCGTCGATGCTTGCTGAAGCTGGAAAGATAAACGAAGCTTTAAGGTTGGTAGTGATTTTTAACTGTATGCTTCGTTAACACAAGGTTTCTCTTCGAAGGTATTGGAAAACATTGAAAACAGCGGGCCATGCAGCTGATATGTGCAAAGAAGCGGCTGTAGCCTTGGAAAAGCGTCTTCGTATCCACTCTCAGGTTTGTAAGCGGACACTCGGCTTTTATACTCACTTTCCTACGGTTTTTTGGCAATATTGATCTACACAAGATGATCCCAAAAGCTTCCGATAATGCTGATATTAATAACTGTCCTGCAACAGCTTCTAGCAGAAGCAGTGTATACTTGCCTCATCGGCATCAATGGAACCCATAAGTGATAATACGAAAAGATCCAACATGCCAGCGAGAAGCATTTCTGAGCCTGACTTTAGGCCTGCACAGGTAACTCGACTTGCTCTTGTGTGCCTTCGATTAAGACTTGTATTCTTTCATCAGATCGTTAGTCCAGCAAAAGGAACGCCAAACAGAGGCGTCTTTACTTCTTTCGTGCAAAGAGCGATGGGCTTCATAAAAACACCTTCGAAGGAGGTTTGTAGAAGCTTTGGAAAGAGAGCTAGCTGATTGATGGTCGGGTATGTGATGCAGGCAAAGCTTGGTGACAGCAACAAGTTTAGATACGACGAGACACTGAAGCGCTGGGTTGAAGAAGGAGCCGAGGCACAAGCGCCAGACCTTCCGTTGGCTCCTCCTCCCACGGCAAACAAGCTCGTCTCGCGCGTGGAGGAGAACGGCGCTCCTATTTCCATGTCTCCGGAGAGACCACAGCCAACTCCAGAAAGGGCGCAACCGGTTGTGAGTGGAATCCCACCAATGCCTCCGAGCAGTAACCAGTACGCAGCTCGCGCACGTCAAAACGTTAGATCAAGGTACCGTTTTGGTCATTCCCAGCACTCCAATCTCACGAGGGTTTTGCAGATATGTCGATACATTCAACAAAGGTAGCGTAACACCATCCAAGACATCATCGGACTCTCCTCCACTGTTTGGCGTGGTGCCAAAGGCAAGCGCAAAGCCTTTGGCTCCAGCGAGATTTTTCGTGCCTGCGGCCGCTGCTGCCGCTGCTCCAGATATCAACAGCAACCATTCGGTGGATCCTTCCTCGGCACCGGCCTTTGTCTCCGACACGGCGTTCTCAAACGGGAATGGAGCATTCGCTCAGCCGGTTGTACAGGATATGAGAAACGATCCGGGGCCAACACCTGATCATCTCTCGAGCAGCTCTTCGCCAGCAATGTTCTATTCGAATCACTATCCAGCAGCACCGTCGACCGTCTCGTTGCCGCCACCTCCAGCTCTGGAAGTCACTCCACAGTGATGGTCGAGCAGCAGCAGCAAAACCAACACCAGGAAAGTTCGATTCATCGGCACCACCATCAACAGTCCGGCACAGTGGGATTCGAAGCTGCCAGTTCCTCCGGAGTGTTTGGAGACGACTTGCAAGAGGTGGAATTGTAAATCACACTCCACAAGTAAGTAGTGTTGCTGGGTGGATTTTGGTAGAGCAGTGTAGCGAAGTAGTAGTCGTGGAAGGAGGAATTTTTTTTGGCTAGGGTGATTCTTTGGAGCCACGAGCGAAGCGCGGAAGCTCCTTAAAGTTGCTAGAGAAAGGAAACTCTAACAAATAAAAGCAAAGGCCTTGTGATGAATATACCTCGAATAATCTCCCGGATTTAAAATATGGCGCGCGTAGCTCACACTGGTTGTCTACGCGCGGTGTGGGCATTTGGGGGAATCGAGAAGGATCTTTGATGCATTGCCGGCCAAGAACATCGCGTCGTGGACGGCGCTCGCGAGCGCCTATGCCGAGAGTGGGCATCCGGGGGAGGCCAAGGCAGCGTTCAATCGAATGGCGGTGTGGGACGTAGTTTCCTCCACTGCGATGATCAAGGCGCTGGGCGATTGCGGGCGGATTGGATCGAGCAAGGCGGTGTTTGATGCGATGCCCGAGAGGAACTGCAAGACGTGGGCGACGCTGCTGCGGGGATTTGCTCTCGGCGGAGAGATTGGGCGAGCGAGAGAGGTGCTGGATTGGATGCCCGAGACGAATGTGGTAGCGTGGACGATCCTCGTGCAGGGTTTCGTGCAGCGCGGGCGAGTGGGCGATGCGAAGGCTGCGTTTGATTCCATGCCCGAGAAGAACAGCATCACTCGCGCGGTGATGCTCGTCATGTTTGCGGAGAATGGATTCGTGGAGGAGGCGGAGGATGTCTTTCCAGGAGATTGTCCACCGAAACGCGATCCTCTGGGGGGCGATGCACTGCTGCTATGCCCAAAATGGGGATTTGATTCAAGCCAAGAGTTTGTTTGATAGTATGCCTCAGCACAGCGTACTTTCGTGGACGATTATGATCAAGCCATACGCGAAAAACGGTGATGCTGATCAAGAAAACACTTGTTTGAAGAAATGCCACACAGAGATCTTGTTTCATGGAACGCGATAATCGCTCTTTATGCCCAGAGAGGTCGTTTCAAAGAGGCGATCCGGGCGTTTTCTTTGTGTTGCTGCTGGGATTCCTATTCATGGAACACAATTCTAGTGGTATATGCTCTAGATGCAAATATTCTTGATGCTAAGAAAGCGTTCGATGAGATGCCAACTTGGAACTTGGTCTCCTGGAACACGATTCTTGCAGCATATGCCCAGATCGGGCATGCGTATTCTGCGATCCAGCTCTTTTGGGCGATGTTTCTTCACGGCTTTGACGACGACAAGGCAGCGTTTGCCATCGTTTTGACGGCGTGTAGCCATCTGGGGCTCGTCAAGGAAGCAGTAAGCTACTTCACGGCAATGAGCTTTGACAATGGATTGGATCCTTCGCAAGACCACTACACCTGCATTGTTGATGCTCTCGGACGACTAGGGCGATTGAAAGAGGCCGAGGATGTCCAGCTGATGGAGTTGCATGTGCAACGTTTCTTAACGCGTGCAAAAACCACGGGGAGATGAATCGAGGGATGCATGCTGCGGAATTTACGTGCCAGTCCAGCCTTGTGAGTGATGCATTGCCTTATGTGATGCTGGAGAACATCTTCAGAGCAGTTCAGACTTGATTCTTCACTGTTTTGATGTGTTAACCCAAACATCGATCGTTGATATCCAGCCATTCCGTGAGCCGCCCCATCCCCCATGGATGGATAGCGGGACGCACAGAGATTGGGCATAGGAGAGTCTTCAGAAATCTATCTGGAGTGTTACGTGCAGTGGGTTTGCTATAGCCAGCAACGCAAGATCCAATGCTGCTGTTGTGAATTTGAGCAGCAGCACTGCGCTCCTCCTGCTCCACATCAGTGCCATGCTAGGCGTGGCAATCCAGATTCTCAAGACCATGCCGGTGAGAGTCTATCATGAGCTCCTGTTGAAAGTGGGAAGTAGTAGTGTGAAATGCTTGCGTTTGAGGCGCGGGTGGAGATGGGCTCATTGATACCTCGTTCCCATTGCCTTCCTTGTATCCTATCTCCCTCGTTGCCTCCCGACATGCTTCATATGTTCTCCTCTCTGAGTTCTATATGTTATCCTCTCTGCTGGGCCTCAGCCCATTCTTGATATTTACGAAGGCTCCATTGGATGTTGATACAGAGAAGTAAATTTAAAGACAATTGGCCCACTTTTATGATGGGCTTAATCTATGTTGAATGGATTGCTCTTTGCAAAGCATGTATGCAAGGCGATTTTACAAGGAAATTTATCAAATCTTCCGCAAAGTCAATGCCATACCTGTCAAGAACCAAATCCTTGGAGAGCTTTAGGAATTAGTATAGGGATATATAGGGATGCATAATGAAGGATAGTTACATAATTTGATGTTGAGATGTCAATTCATGGTTTTGGGGTCTTGAGCAGAATGGGAGAGCAACAGTTGAACGATTTGGAGATTGTGTTCTCCACTCAATGTTAGCAAGAGTTTCTGTATGATGGTTCTCAATTCAGCAAGGGGAATTTTACTGCTCCCACTCCACTGAAGCCTTTGAAACCAACTAGAAATTGGAGGCATTGGTCTTTAAATGAATTGTTGGCTCTGAATAAAGCAAAGAAGCATGATTTCTTCTTACAGCAATGAGGTAGCATTCAAGAGGCACAAAACTACAAGTGTTCATTGGCAGCAAATTTCCGAGTAAGTTTTGGATTTTTTAGACTTCCAATCATTCACTAAGTTTTCAACTATTGTTTGACACATGGTGTCAACCATTTGCCTGGGCAAATGCCAATCTCGTTGGGAGTATATTTCAACAAAATCAAGTCATATGAATATCATGTTCCTATTGGCAAAAGCAGTACTGAAACATGACAACAGAGCAATGTCGTGAAGCTGATTTACCACCAAAGTTCAATGATCAACTCTATGCAATGATGGACGAGTGGCTTTAGGACTGTCAAACTGTAAATTCACAAAGATAGATTTAGGAATTAATGTCTTCACCATCTACATCCTAACAATCATCATTACCAACACTAAGAGCTTCACAACAATGATCACTATTACCTCCATATGGAGAATCAGAGCCTAAAGGTATGTTTTGTAGTTTTTGTTCATACAATGACAAGAAACAAGAACAATCTTGAAAAGCATAGTTTAGGCCGGCTGAGGAAGAAGTCCTGCACACAACTTACAAAACAACTTGCAAAAGCATTGTGTGACAACAATGTGAGCCTCATTGATACAATGGAAAATAGCTAGAAGGAAATTTATTGTCATAATCTGAAGAAGGAAATTTATTGTCATAATCTGAAGAAGGAAGAATTCATAGAGCATACTCTGGCTGTGGATAGATAGATGGTGAAGAGTGTGGATCAAGTAGCTCAAGCCTTGTTTGCAATTGCTGATTCTTTGGTAAGTCATTTCATTTTCTTATTCATGAACTTCACTTTTGTAATTTATAGTGTTACTGATTACTATCTCTGAAGCAATGAGAGAGATGATGAACTGATGAAGATGTGATGACTTACCTGATCAACAATTCTAGGCCCAGCATTCCCACCTTGCATTGCCACTGCCAATATCCTTGGATTGATTCCATCAATTTAGATAGAGCATTTTTGTTGGAAGGACATGAGTGTTCACGTAAAACTGTTTGTATCAGTTGTTTAGCAATAGAAACACAAATGGATTAGAGTTAGATTGAAAGGAAAGAAAGAACTTTGCAAGAGTAAGTACCAAGAGTGCCACACTGCAAAATGACAATCTTTGTGTATGGTTGATTGATCCTCTCTTAGTGACCACTACTCAGGTATGCCTATAAGCCTGGCAATGCTGTAGGATT